GCAAACAGACCTGCCCCACGTAGCCATCGCTGTTGCAAACCCAAACTTCATGGGAGCTTTCCGGGCTGCCATGGCTGGGGGAAGCACAAGAGAACTGCAAAGGAGGAAAAGATGGGATGAGTTGGGTCATTTGGGAGTGACGCAGGATTTCTTGGCATCCAGCAACGAGCACACTGGGATGGAGAGGACCACAAGGTCCTTGAACGCAACCTCTTAGTACCTGCATCCCACTCCGCGTCTTCATGATGGGGATGGCCTTGAGGAACTCTGGGTCCAGGCAGTTTTTGCTGGAAGCTGGGAAAATCAAAGTGGAGGATGAAGAAGTGATGGAGGAAAGGGGTCTATCCAAGCAGGGCCGTGATGCTGAGCCCAACACCCCATCCACCTCCCCTGTCCCTGGTGTTACCCAGCTTTTTCTTGGCATCCTCAAAGGCTTGCTCGAAGCCGAGCCGGGCATCAGGGTTGGGGAACTCAAAGATGAAGGTCTCGGTGCCATCAGCTTTGGTGGTGCTGAGCTCCACCTTGTTGGGGGGGAAGGCCATGCTGAAGGACAGGGATTGCTTCTCCGCCAGCTCCCGGTGGATGGCAGCCATCAGGTCCTTGATCACGTCATCCAGGCTCTGGGTATGGGGACAATACTCAGGTATGGGGACAATGCTCAGGTATGGGGACAAGGCTCAGGTATGGGGACAAGGCTCAAGGATGGGCCACCACCAGCTGATGCCCCTCATCCAGCCCCTAGCATCCTTCAGAGGCTGCCCCAACCACATTGGAGCTTTGGGGCTGGTGGCATCCAGGTTCTCTAAGGACTCTCACGGCCACCAGCCCATCCATAGGTGCTCTTTCCCACCACGGACATCCCAGTCCAGGTGAGGTGTCTTGTCAGGGGACAGCACTAGGACCACCACATGACACTGACCCTGTGCATCCCCAACCATCCTTCAGAAGCTGCCCCAATCCCCCTTGTGACATTAGAGCTGGTGGCATCTGCGTCCTTTGAGAACACTCATGGCCACCAACCCTTCCAACAGGTTCTTCTTCCCACTGAGGACATCCCAGGTGATCCCATGGGAATGTGTTCAGCCAGGGGACAGCACCAGGCCCACCATGCCCATACCTGGTGGGGGAAGCTGAGGGTCTCTGATAACTTGCTGACTTGCCCCAACGTGCTGAGGTCTTCATCCAGGCGGCAGATGCTTTTCTGGATGCTCTCCCGGTTGGTGGCTTGAGAGGCGCCTGTGTGGGGACACATGAATGGCATTAACCACTTCTCCTCACCAACCAGATGGGTTTTGGGGTGGGATGGGACACTCCACCACACCTTTAACAATGTCCACATCCTCCAGTGGCAGCTTCCAGAGCAGTTTGTACTTGCTGGCGGTGTCGATCACACTGGCCGCCGTGTACCTGTGAGGTTGGAGGGGATGGCGAAGCTGCACCCATGTCCCCAGCACCCTAAAGCCAGGTCAGTCCAGCGGGGACAACCCTGAGAGCGTGGGTTAATCCCAGGGGGTGTCCCCAGGCGTGGTGGTACTCACAGGCTCATGGAGCTGCGGCGGAGGGAGCCCGACTTGCGCTTCAGTGTGGTGCACACCAGCAGGTCCGAGAAGAGGAAGAAGGAGCGGTCCTTCTTCCCACCCACAGCCTTCTGCAGAGAGTGGGAGACACCAAGGGGTTAATGGCCAGCCCCCCCCCGCTGCTGGCACATGGAGTGGTCCCTGCCTCAGTTTCCCCATGAGCTGCTTTGGCATAAGGAGGCTGTAGGACCACACCACCATCTGCATGGGACCAACTATGTCCTTGTGATGGTGAAAGGAGACATGGGTGCAATGCGCATGTGGGCAAAGCCACAGGGTCCCATTCATGGGAAAGCACCAGCGCCATGGGAACACCAGCCATGGGCTCACCAAGACCCTCATGATCTCCATCTCCAGCCTCCTTCCCACCCCCAAATCCATCTTATTATCCCCCACACTTGGGGAATTTTATATTGTCCCCATCATTGATCCGTCCCTTGATCCATGGTTGTCATTGATCCACCCATCCATCCATCCATCCATCCATCCATCCATCCTTACACAATCATATAGTATCTCAAGTTGGAAAGGACCCATAAGGATCATCAAGTCCAACTCCTTGCTCCTTGCAGAACTACCCAACACTAAACCATACAACAAAGAACCCAGAAGCATCATCAAGTCCAACTCCTTGCTCCTTGCAGAACTACCCAACACTAAACCATACAACAAAGAGCATCACCCAGACATTCCTTGCACCTTACAGGCTTGGTGCCATGACCACTTGGGGAGCCTGTTCCAGTGACTGGCCACCCTCTCAACAAAGAACCTTTTCCTAATGTCCAATCTGAACTTCCCCTGATGCAGCTTCCATCCATCCATCCACCTATCCATCCACCCATCCATCCACCCATCCACCCATCCATCCACCCATCCACCCATCCATCCACCCATCCATCCATCCATAGCCATGGGCTCACAGGCATCCCATGACTCACAGACATAGCCTCTTGCTGCCCCATCCAGTGTGTGGTCCCATAGCCCTGATGGTGACAAGGGACCACCCGGTTCTTACCACTTCCACGACCATCTCCTGGCGCAGGAACCTGCGGAGTGGGGCCTGGAGCTGTGGGGACAAAGAGACTCATGAGTGGGGATCTCCAGGGGGGACCCTCATGGGCTTTGTCCCTGCCTCTGCAGCCCCCTGGCACCCCAGCGCTTCCCAAACCCCCATGAGCCCACCAAGGCCAAGTGATGATGGAGAAAGCAGGACCCAGAGGGGAAAGCAAGTGACCCAGCCTGGGGTGACCCAGAAAGAGCAGAATTGGTTGCATTTTGGGGACAAGGTAAGACTGACGCTGCGTAGGACCCCCATACGTACGTCCTCCATCCCTTCGATGTGGGACTCGATCTCCTGCACGATCCGTGCGTTCCTCTCCACCTCCTCTGCGCTCTTCATGCCCTTGTTGATCCTCTCGGCCACTTGCTTGATGTTGCGCTGGGCATCGATGAGGAAAGGGTGGTCGGGGTGGTCCTCAGGCGTGTGCTTCAGCAGGTCCTACCATGGGGACACAGCCGGGATGTCACCACGGGCAAAGCCTGGGCATCAGTGATGCCATGACATCAACAAGCAAAGTCCCTGCTCTGCTCTGGCTGCTGGGGATGGAAACCAGCCCCATGCAGGAAAGAAACAAAGCCTTGAACTTTGGCCACCAACATCTTGGTCTTTGCCACCACTAAAGAGGCCACCAGCTCCTCAGAGCACATCATAACCTTGCATGGATGCCTGAAATTGACCCCTGGCAGTGTTCAAGGTGAGACTGGATAAGGCTCTGAGCAACCTGCTCTACTGGAAGGTGTCCCTGCCCATGGCAGGGGTTGGAGCTGGAGGAGCTTGAAGGTCCCTTCCAACCCAAATCAGTCTGTGACTCTGAAAGCACAAACCAACCAGCCTCATCACCAGGAAGAGCGCCCCTGGCACAGGGAAACTGAGGCACAGAGGGGCTGGCAGTGGACTGGTCCCCAGCTGGAGCTGCAGTGTCCAACCTTGCAGCAGAAAGTGAGAGGAGAAGAGGACTGCACACCCATAGGTACATGCTAAGTATGACAACAGGGTGACAGTCCTCAGGGTGACTATCCCCAGGAGGACAGGGCTGTGTGTGTGGGGACACCAACTCTGTGCCAAGGGACGAGAAAAGGGGCCAGGAGAGATGCGAGAACCCTAATAGCTCCTGTTACATGAAAGTGAGGAGGAGCCGTGGTGTCACCAGGCCCTGGCATGGCACAGACACCCTCCTGCCCGCACCCACCTTCACCAGCAGCTCGTAGCGTGGGATCCTCTGCACCGGCTTGATCATGAGGTCGGACAGAGCCTGCTTCTCCTTGTTCTCCCTCATGCTTTGCTGCAGAACACCCACGGGAGACAAGGATGGGCCCGTTAGGTGAGACACTGGGTCCCTGCTGTGTCCCAGCAGCCCAGGACCTGGAGCAACACCCATTTGGGCTTGGGGTGACTCCTTTTTACACCATCGGGAGTGACTCTGGTTCATCCCAACTTTGCCTCTTTGCAACAAACCCAAGAAGAACATGGGGGGAATATCCCAGTCTGACCATAAATTACCAGTTGACTCCCATTAACCCCCATCCCACCCCACCAGCAGGTGGCTCTGGACCTTGGCCACCATCCGTGGGGAGAGGAACCAGGACCCACCTCCAGGAACTTCATGAATGCCGGCCGGGCTTCCTTGGCAATCCTGACTGCATCCTTGGCATTGAGGAAGTTATCGATGTAGGCAGAGTAGATGTTCACCAGCACGTCCTTGGAGAACTGGGAGGGGAAAAGGGGATAGATCCAGCATGGACAAGCCTGCAAGAAGCTACCCCAAGGGTTAAACTGGCTCAGGACTGCAGTGGGGATGGTTCACCCACCATCCACCCCCCTTGGTTTTTCACATTACGCTAAGCAGACAGCAGGCCTGGAGATTATCTCCTGTTCTCCATCCCAGGCCTGTTTGGCCTGTGCTGTAATCACTTCCCTGCCTCTAGATCCAAAACTTCTCCTCTGGGAGCTGGGTTCCCTCAGGGAAATCCACCCCATGAGACCTACCGACTGCACCAGGAGGTCGCCCACTTTCTGCTTCTCGTGCCAGTTCTGCACACAGTCATGGATCTGCTCCAGGAACTGCTCGTGGTGCTCCAGCAGCTCAGGGATCTGGTCAAAGATCTCATCCACCAGCGATGGGTCGCACAGCAGCGAGTTCTCTGGTTGCTTCAGTGGCTTCATGTAACCCTGCAGTGAAGGAAAGTCTTTGGGGTTGCTTTTTCCACCAGCCCCAGCATGAGTTTTGCAACCCCTATTGAAAAATGGGGATCACCAATATGGGGAACGGTGGCATCCTAGAGCAGGGAGGTCCCCAGTGAACACCGGGTTGTAGGACCCACCAGAAGGACCAGACAGCACCAGGTCCAAGCAGGTTTTGCACCTCAGCCTCCCTGGGTCCCATCCTACCCAGTGCAGGCCCATGGCAGTGTGGGGAGTGAGATAGATCTGCATGATGTCCTCTGTCCCCCAGCCAGGGCTTTGAGAGGCTCCAAATCTTTGCTGTCATGAGCCTGGGTCACCTTCATCTGCTGCAGAGCCTGATCTAGTTGGGAAATCACGGCAGCACGACCATGGGATCTGAAAGTTGGTGCATTCCTGGTGGGATTTAGGGTGTCTGGGACCAGGAGGGGCTGGTGGTGGATCAAGCCCTGGACCTCTTCGTCCAGCAGCCTCTTTCAGGCAACGGCCAATGAGCGATGCTCAGGGCCAGCAGGAAAAGCAGGTCCTCTGCAAGGCTTTGAAAGCCCTTTCCTCCTGCTGTGGGGCAGAGTTGCAGAGAGGAGCAGGAATAGGAGAGCTGGATTTGCAATGGATGCAGGATAGGGAAGATCTTCTCAAGCCTTACTGCCTCCTCAGCTTGACTGGTATGGAGTGATGGTGTCTTCCAGGACGGTGGGAGCACCCTGGAGATGACTCCATGAGGATAAGACCCACCTTGAGTGGCTTCAGACATTCCATCCAAGCTGGCAAAGGAGTGATCATCCCCCAAGGATGAGGTTCCTCAAGCTGATGGTGGGTATCTTGTGGAGACCCAAGTGAGAAGGGCCAAATCCTTCCTGAGGGTCCTAACTCACTTCGCCTGCCCTACTGTGGCCAACAAAAGCAGTGGGAGCTGGGCTGTGTCATGCACCCCATCTGCCATGAAACTGGAGGAGCAAGGACTAGGTGGGGAAGAAGACAAGCCCCCACCTTGGTTCACAGGGAAAGCAGGCAGGGCTTGCCCATGCACCATCTAAATTGGCTGGAAGATGATGTTCCAAGGTGGTCTTTGTCCCTGGTAGCCACCATGCTACGTGCCACCGAGCCATGTCATGGACCCAAGCACCTTGTCCCAGCTGAGATGGGGAGCAGGGGGTGTTTGGAGCCCTGGCACCCCCTCCCAGAAAGCAGGTCCCCCTGGTTGCACTGTGTCAGGATGTGTCCCACAAGCAAGGGCTCAGGCATTACCACCCTGTGGCTCCCATCCATGTTCAACCAGTCCCTCCAGTGGGGAACTGGTGAGTCCCAGCACAACCGTCCTCTCCAACCAGCCTCATGTCACACCTCAGATGATGATACAGACCATGGGGCAGTCTCTGTCCATACCAAGACCAGGGGGACATCCCCTGTCTCCAAACCTCACACAGCTTCCCCCAAAATAAGCCCCAGAGCCACAGTCCTCTCACGCCTCCAAGCCAACATCTGCACTAGGAGCAGGTCCTTCCCTCCTGCAGTAACATCTGGATCTTTATGGGGATTTATGGGCAAAGCCTGGCTGGGCGTCGGGATGATGGGTGCCCCATGCCCTCATGGACATGCCCAGCAGATGTCCTATAGGCACTGCTTCATACTGAGCAGAGCAGAGCTCTGATTTTTAGGTGTTTCCACCTGCAGCGATGTGGTTGGACAACCCACACCAGCCTGACCTAGTCTCCAGGGCGTTGACCACCATTAACCTTCATTAACATCTGAAACGTGGGGTGGAACCTCCGGCCAGGGGGGTTGGAACCAGCTCAGTGAAAAAAGGACAGAGAAAACCCCTTGGCCCATGGCTGCAGGTGATGACACTGAGCAGACAAGAGGGGGACAAGGGAATGGGGGGTCTAAGGGGTCCCCCATCATGGGACAAGCACCAGCAACAGTCCAGGAGATGAGGTGCAATGTGAGGAAGAGCTTTGGGGGGCAAGCATAGGAAGGGGCTTGGGGGCACAATACCTGCAAGGTGACAACCCACCAGGAACATTATGGGTTTGATTTGGGGGACAGAGGTGACCCCCACACCCCATTCTTGACACTATTGCCACTCTGCTCCCACTTCTGTCCTGCTGTCCCCACTGCCACCCGTCCCCAGTTGGTGCTGGTAGAGCACCCACAGCCGAGGGTCCAACCTGGGGTCCCAGGGACAATGACAAGGAAGGGATGGTCACACCAGGACGAGTTTTGGGGTGTCATGCCCCTGGCCATACCTGCATCAAGGTGCGCAAGGACTCCACGTAGGACTGCTCCGTGTCCAGCAGCGTCATGATGACGTGTTTCCTCATGTCCTGCCCCGGGTGGGAAGAAAGACAAGGTGAGTTTTGGGGTGACACGATGGAGGAGAGCTACGTGGTGGGTGTCGGTGCCGGCACAGGGGCCCGGTGGGGAGGCTGAACGCCGGTGGAGCCCGGCTGGTGTCCAGCTCCCCTCCGCTCCCTCTCCACCCCGCTGGAGGAATCCAGGAGGATTAGGAAGTACATGACACGGAGAGCACAGAGACGCCTGGTTTCCGCCCTGGATCTCACAGCCCTACATGGGTCGGTCCCGGCGCCCTCCGTCTCTCCAGCGGCTCCGCTCCGAGCGGTCCCGTAGGAATTCTCTATCCGCGT